GACGCGAGGAGGGAAGCGGGGAGGGGGGGGGGGATTTTTGAGATTCACAATTCGGCGGCGAGCGAGGGGGGGACGTGATAAGGAGGAGGCCTTCCCAGACGGCGGCGGGGCTTCCTAGAAGCCCTCGCGCCTTCCGAGAAGGTCCCTGTGTCTCCAGAGAAGCCTTAGAATACTTCTCGGAAAACCCCAGGCCTTCCGGACCTTCTGATACGGCCCGCACGCTCTCACTTTCCCCCCCTGGCTCGCCGCCGAGGGACGGCAGGACGCCAGGAGGGAAGTGGGGGGGGGGGGAAGTCGGCACGGGAGGACTGTGCGCGCTTGCAGTGCGCACGAGGGCTCGCGAGGCGGCGTCCAGGCGATTTGCCAACTTGCTGGAGTTGCTCTGCCACCAAGCCTTTGCATTCACATTGCGCATTGAACTTTGAACATTCACATTGCCCCGGGAAAGACGAAGGAGGGCGGCGCACTGGACCGCTCGAAGATCCACCACTTACAGGAGGAGGGGGGAGAAAGGAGGGAGACGAGGCATGGGAAACGAGGAAGGGAGAGGATCAGGGGGGAAAGATGTGGCCGATGGGGGACAGCGACGAGAGAACGATGACGGCGGGGGAGTGACAGTAGAAGGATGATGATGAGGAGGAGGAGTAGTGCGACGACGAGACGAGAAGGATGGAGGTATAAGGCGTGCATACTAAACTGGATGCAGTCAGCGTGCTAACGCAAGGAACGCAACATAAGGGACGAAGGAACTTTCCTGGCCGCGGCGAGCTTCGGCCACGACTGGATTCCCCGACCTAGGTCGAAGGAACGGCCCGAAAAACGCAGCCTCTCCTGAGCCCTAAACGGCCTTCTCTCAGCGTCTTGACTGTATGGGAGGATGGGATGGAAGAGGCAGGCGGAGGTGTGACTAGGAGGGGAAAGAGTAGTCGGGGAGCGCCCTGGATATGCGGTGCGTCCCTACCGGTGGACGCTTCGCTGCAAGAGCAATCAAAACAAGATCGAAACCTTGGGGTCGATGGCTTATGCTTCCCCACCCCGGGCCAATCCACCCCCCAGTGTCGCCTGGGCTCTGGGTGCCTTGTGGACCATAACTCGGGCCTCAAGCGGCCGTTCGGGACGATTTCGGTATCGCTGGAACGCTCGCGACGAGGCGCAGCTGATGGAAACCACCCAGGGTCCCGAAAACCTCAGAAAACATCCGAAACACTTCGAACAAATGCGACGTGGCCAAACATTTCCCCCCGACACCGCGACGCAACCAACCCTCATTGTGGCGGGAAGCGTCTGGCAGAGCTCCGTTAGCTGCACGCGAGAGTGACTTTAGAAAGAAAGTGACCTCTGGTGCGCGGCTTTCGGGGGGGCGCGGCTGCGCCAAACGCATCGCGATCACGTGGTGAACGCGTGCGGATTACTTCGGAACTCTCGTGGATTTGATATGGTGTTTCGTGCTTCGGGGCTCGCATCGGTGAATGTATCGGGCGCCTCGGTCGTTCCAGCGCGCTCTGGAACGCTCTGAGCGAGTCTGGAATACCCTGGAACGATCTATCCTGGTACTAGCCACGCCTGAGAGGACTTGACTTTCCGCATGGGAAACCAATATGGGTTAGATTTGAATTGGAATAAAACTGAGGTCAGGGCACTCAACAAACCTGGGATCATACACGACCCGTTCATGCAGCAGGTCAAGGGAGTACAACAAACAACTTATTTCGGTGGCCTGCTGAATTACCAAGCTGAAAACAAACCAGAATTCACGAGACGGCTGGGAATGGCCGGGGGACTTTCCAAAGCATTGAACAAACGTTTGGACCACACGGGCATCAGTAAAGCTAGGAACATGCGCCTATTTAATGCGAGTGTGGTCCCAAAGCTTTTGTACACTTTAGACTTCCATTGGTTATTACAGGCAAACCGCACCAGACTGGAGAATTTGCAAGTGTCGTGCCTCCGATTGATACGAAAGATCGAGCATTCATACTATTCCGGAGTTTCGAACTCCACTGTATTATCCAAGGCGAAGACTGTTCCTCTGAGTGAGACGCTCGCAAAGCGACAGGTACGATCATATGAGTAGTGAGCCTGCCTGAATCACATCGTTTACGAGCCCTTGTGTGGCCAGGGGGGAGGAGTCCAAGGCAATGGCTCGTGCACCAGAAGCGCGGCCGCCCAAAGTTGCAGTGGGCTCAGTGTGTACAACTCACCACACGCATATTTAGATCAATGTTTGCCTTTCTCCTCCCCCTCCTTCTCCTCCTCAACTTTTATACTACCGAGGCGCCCTGACATAGGCCAGCGCATGACTCTGCTGTTGTTGAAGCCACGCCCGAGAGGAGCTCAATTCGGGTGCCTTGCGCGAGGACTGCTTGCGAGCATGGTGAGATCGTGAGCCGCCAAAGTGCTCATGAGGGAGGGTGCTGCATTGGCGGCGGCTGCGCGTGCTGAGCAGGGGAAGAGGAGGGGCGAGGGGGGAGAAGGCAGGCAATCCCGGAGGACTCGTGCGGCAAGGTGAAACCCGACCTGCGTCGGAGTCACGCCGGAACTCTGCCGAATCGCTGCCGCGCGAAAGCCGTCCCACGTCCCGCGGGGCGGACGTGCGGACCATACCATACGACTATTTTGCGTGCGGACGTGCGGACCACATTGCGTGCCGCGCGAGGCCTCCAGGATTTTCCTCGCGCCTCTGTGGAGTGGCTCTCTGGTTGGGGGGGGGGCGTGCGTCGCGCCCCCCCCCCCCCCTCACCCAGGAAGGAAGAGGTGGAGGAGGAAGAGACATCGAATCCATGGCCTAAGAGCCCAACGATCCGTCCAAAGAAGGACACCGAGCACACATCTGCGGGCCTGGGTGACACGGAACATCCAATCCACGGCAACAGAAAGCCACGGAAGGAGGCTGCAGGGTAGATGGAGAGAACGATTGCGGATAGGGGGTGGGGGAATGAGGGGGATTGGGGCAAGGGAAGCGGTAGGAGGAACGGGAGGAAGAGGAGCACGGGAGGGAGGATATTCGGGAAAGCATGATGAGGGGGGAAGGCCCACCCTTTTCTTTCCCTCCTCCTCCTCCTCCTCCTCCTCCTCCATCCCCCTCATTCTCCTGCTCCCCGTCCTCCGCCCTCCGTCCTCCTCCCTTATTCTCCTCCGCCCCTTCCCACCTCTGCTCCCTCCTCTCTCCCTCTCCTCCGCCTCCTCCTCCTCCTCCTCCTTCTCCTCATTCTGATCCTCCCTCCTCCTCCTGATCCTCCAGATCCCTCGTTTTCGCCACTCGCTTCTGCTTCCACTTCAACATCCTCGTCCTCCTCCTTCTCCTCCTCCTCATTTCCATCGTCTTCATCCTCCCTCATGTTCGCCTTGCGCATCCCCTCACCATCACATTTCTGTCATCGCTGCCCTTCTCCTTCTCCTCTCCTCATTATCCTTCGTGCCATGTATGCTTTTGCCTTTTCTCCTTCCTCTGCCTCTGCTTCCTGTTTCCCCTCCATCTCACTCTCCCTCTCCCTGTCCCTTTCCCTCTCCCTCCTTCCCCCCCTCTCTCTCTCCCGCTCATCTCTTTCACTCTCTGTACGTGTTACATGCGTACGCACACCATACTTCTACGTATATGCATGCACGCACGCATGCGCACATGTATGTACGTATGTATGCATGAATGCATGTATGCATGTAAATGTGTATGTATGTATGTTTGCTTGTTTGTATGTATTGCATACATGCATGCATGCATGCATGCATGTATGTATGTATGCATGTATGTATGTATGTATGTATGTATGCATGTATGTATGTATGTATGTATGTATGTATGTATGTACGTATGTATGTATGCGTGTACGTGTGCATGTAGGTGTATATGCATGTACGCATGAATGCATGCATGCATGCGTGTTTGTCGATGTGCATGCATGTGTAGCTGTGTGCATGTATGTATATCTGTACGTGTGTATGTATGTATGTATGCGTGTATGTATGTATGTCTGTTTGTATGCATGTATGTATTTATGTATGCATGTATGTATGCATATATGTATATATGTAGGTAGGTGTGTTTGCATGCTTGTCTGTATACATATGCTTAAACGCCCGCATGCAGGTATGACTGCATGGCTATATGTATGCATGTATATATGCATGCATGCGTGACTGTACATATGTATACATATATTCATGTTTGCATACATGCATATATGGATGAACATATGTATGCTTAGATGTATGTGTACATGTATGCATGCATGCATGCATGTCTGCCTGCCTGTCTGCCTGCCTGTCTGCATGCACGCATGCATGTATGCATGTATGTATGTCTGTGTTTATACAGGCATGTATGCATGCATGCATGCATGCATGCATGTATGTATGCATGAATGTATGTATGTATGCATGCATGCATGCATGCATGCATGTATTTATGTATGTATGTATGTAGGTTATATGTATGTATGTATGTATGTATATATGTATGTATGTATGTATGTATGTATGTATGTATGTATGTATGTATATATGTGTGTGTGTGTATGTATGTATGTATGTATGTATGCATGTATATATGTATGTAAATGTATGCATTTGTGAATGTATATATGTGTATATGGCCATATACGTACAGGGTTGTATGTATGCATTCAAACATGCATGAGTGCATGTATAGACGTAAACATGTATGTGTGTGTGTGTGCGTGTGCGTGGACGTGGGTATGGGCGTGGGCGCGGGTGTGGGCGTGGGCGTGCGTGTGAGCGTTGGCGTGAACGCGGGCGTGGGCGTGGTGAGCGTGGGTGTGGGCGTGGGCGCGAGTGGGCGTGGCCGTGGGCGCGGGCGTGGGCTGGGGGCAGGGCCCAGCAAAGCCTGTGGCGACGTAGCCTGGCCCCGCGCGGTTTTCACCCCATGGGTGCCCGTGGGGGCCAAGGCTTGCGTTCTAAAACCCGCTGATGTAGGTGGTGGGCTCGGTGCTTGCGTCGGCATGAGCGGCCCCATGGCGCCCGTGTTGGTCGTCGAAACCGAGGTCCTGGTCGTCGGCTTCTCGGTCTGACATGTCGTCGAACGATACTTCGTTGACGTCCATGGTGTGCGCTGTTCGTGACGCGGCGGCCTCTCGCATGCCGCCTTGGGGGGCAGAAGCCAGAGTGCCCCGGCCTGCTGTGCCAGCGCAAGGAGATGCCGTAGTAGGTGTCCCGCTCGTTGCGGAAACCGAAGGAGCGGGGCCCGCTGAAGCCGATGGAGCGGGGGTAGCAGAAACCGTCGTCTCTCCAATCCTATGCGCGCTCAGGGGTGCGTGAATCGGACCATCGATCGCACCGGTTGTATGCGCTCCACTCGCTTGAATCGGGCCATTGTGCGAGGCCCCGTCCACTGGGCGCGGTACTAACTCGTCTCGATCGGGGACGTGGGCGGGGGCTGGGAATGCGGGGGGTCCGCCTTCGGCGCCAAGTCGAGCCAATAATTGATGCCATTGGGCCGCGCTTGGTCGGGAACTCGGGAGGGCGCCGTAGTGCCATTTGCGGGCTCGAAATTTGTGCCGTAGCATGCCTTCGGTGATGCGGTGGCATTCGGCCAGTCGTCGATTGCGCCAGGCACTCCATTGATCGTCGCATTGTAGTTCTGGATACTTGCAATTTGTGTCTTTGGTGTGATGTTTGAGCATCTTGCTGATCTCGCGGATGGTCTCGTCCAGCTCCTCGATCTCCTGCTCGATGGCCTGCGGGTCTTCCATTTGGGTCCGTCGTGCGTGTAATTCTGCTCGTTGCCGATATATGCGAAATTTCTCTTCGCGGGCTGCTTGGCACCGCTGCAGGCGCTCGACGTCAGCCGGGAAGTACTCTGGGGCCGCGTCGCGGAAGCGCTGCGTTGTGAGGCCCCAGTGGTCGGTGCCGTCCTCTTTGTCTAGGTGCGCGTCAAGTAGTTCGGCGTGCGATGTTAGGTGGCCCTCAAGGCTGGTCAGGAACTCTTCGCGCCTATGTCCTTCTTTTAGGCCCAGTGCCATGGCTTCCTTGTTGAGAACCTTGTGTGCCTTGCCCTCTGTGTAACGCGATTGCGTCCTTGAACCTGCGGCTGAGCTGCAGGGCGTGGGTCGATTTGCTCCATGCTCGGCGTTGGTGAATGCGAGAGGCCAGACAATTTGGCATGCGTCTATGATCCGTGACGAAAAATGGCGGCCGTCGTAGGTCGGGCACGTGTCTTAGTGCGTGTTGGCGCCGGCCATGTAGACGTTGAGAGGGTGCGTGTGGTGCAGCTTTCCTGCTTCGCCTTCGCGTCCTGTCGGGAAGGGCCCAGCTGTCTCGTCTCCGTCTTCACCTCGCTGAAATCGATCGTTCAGGTCCATCGAGTATCGGAGTATGGCGTGGCGAGGATCTCATCCCTGACAGAACAGGCAACCTTGTTCATCGTGGATCTCCATTGAAGTGCCTTCTTTAGCAGAGGCGGCGAGTAGGCAGCGATGATCTTCAATTTGGTCGCGCCCTGCTCGATCGTAATGGCTCCTCCTCTCCCGCAGATGTCCTGCGGTGGACGCGTGATGTCCTTGATGTACCTCGCCTTGAACCTGGTGCCCAATAGGATGGCACATCCAGCCGAGTTGTTAACGTGTGGGCTCCGATATCCATATCCCAAATGAACGGCCATGTGATGTTCATGCTGTTGGGTGTGATGTGGGCTGGCGGTGTGCTTCGGGGTCTTCGTGCGTGGGCGCGCGACGATCTGCGCTCGTCGTAGCTCTGCGCTGACTTCCTGTCCTCGTGTGCCGACCAAGCTGGAAGCGTTGAAGGTGGCGAGCGCAAGGAACGCCCGCATCCTCATGGCGCCATCTCCTCGAGAACACGGCGCGGTGGTGCGCTCATCGCTGAGGCGGGCGTGTGCTGTCCGCCTGGTGCCTCCACCAGCCCCGCAAGAATTCGCTTGGGCCGAACGCTAGATCTATGTAGATATCTATGTGTGTACACCGTTCATTCTACACGTGCGTCTATATGTTTGCATGAATGTATGCTTGTACGCATGCATGTATGTATCTAGATATGTCTGCATGCTTGCATGCATGCCTGTATAAGCATGCACACTTGTGTATATGTACACATTTGTGCACATACATACACATATACATATGTACTATTTCTTAATTGCATATGTATATATGTGTAAAAGTGTTTATCAACATATTTGAATATAAGTGTGTATGTGGATGCGTATGTGTATTTGTACGTGTTTATACATGCATGCATGTATGCATGTATGCGTGTATGTATGCATGCATGTCTGTATGTATGTATGTATAGATGTATGTATGTGTGTGTATTTATGGATGTACGTATGAATGAATGAATGTATGTGTATATTCACAATGCATTTTACATATGTGCATGCATATCCGCCACCGTGCCCATGTACGAAACGAAGTGTCCTTAGGTCGTTTTCCAAATCCCCTGAACCTCAATCTGTACGCCTGACGAATTTTTAAGCCCGGGCCCGACCCCAACTTCCCTAAGGCATCGCGTCGGATTAGCGGAGCGCTGCTCCGCGCCGACTCCCGGAATGCTCCGCGACTGATTAGCGGAACACCGATCCGGTAATTGTTTTCAAGGCGTGTGCGCCGGTTCCAGACATGCTCCGAATCGAATTAGCGGAGCGCCGCTCTGCTGATTGGCCTCAATGCGTGCGATTCGCGGAATGCTCCGCGTCGGATTAGCGGAGCGCCGCTCCGCTAATTGGCCTCGAAACATACGCACACATGCCTGGAGCGCCCCGAATCGGATTAGCTGAGCGCCGCTCCGCTGATTGGAAAACCACGATTGGCGGAGTGCTCCGCGTCGGATTAGCGGAGCGCCGCTCTGCACACTGGCCCCAAAACGTGCGCGCCGCACTGGCGATTCCCAATATGCTCCGCGTCGGATTCGCGGGACTCCGCCGGTGCCCCCGCCGTGCTGCCGCCGCGAGCCTCGGCCGCAAGCCACGCGGCGCCGGCCGACGCGGGCGCCAGCTCCGCCGCCGCAGGCGCACGCAGGACGCCGCCCAAAGCCGCCGCACCAACGTCAGCCGCTGGTCCCGCCGGCCCTGCGCCCACGGCCCCGAGCGCGCGGCCGCCGTCCGCCGGCGCCCCCTGGCGCAGCTGCCGTCGCCAGGGCGGCCGCGACCGCGGCCGCTGCCAGCCACCTGCGCTCACCGGCGTCGCCTGCCTCGCGGAGCGCGCGCCGACCCCGCGCGCCAAGCGCGATCGGGGCGACCAGCATGCCCCCGCTCGCGAAGGCGGCGGCGAGGGGCCCCACCAGGCCCAGGCAAGGGGGCGCCGCTGGGCATGGCGCTGCTGACTCAGCAGCTCACGGCGGCCGCACCGACCTAGCCAGGAGGCTCCCAATCGCGGCGAACCCCAGCTGCAGCGCGTTCTCCATGCACTGCCTGCCGGGGTCGGGCGACCAGATCATCCGAGCCAGAAAAATTGTGAGCGTATATCAAACGGATCTGTGTAAAGCAAAATCGTTGGACAACGAATAGTGGAGCTTCGGCCCAGCCCGCCGGCCACTTGAAAGGCCGACCCCCAAAAGGTTCCCCGTTGCCCAAACTATCTCCAAGACGGCCAAGTTGGCTCAAGGTGGCCTTCAAGATGCCTCCAAGATGGCCAACACTGCTCAAGATTGCCTCGAAGACGGGAAGACCTCTTACGCCCAAGACGGCCTCCCAGACTGCCAAGATGACTGCAACATGTCCCCAAGACGACACACGGTGCAGCCAACACTGCCTAAGTTGGCCTCCAGATGGCCCAAGAGGCCCCCAAGAGGCCTCCAAGAGTTCCTCCAGGACGGTCCGAAGGACCTAAAAGCATCGAATTCCCTCAAGGAGCGATTTGAGGGTTGACCCTTCTTGACCCTCCGACGGTCCAAGACGGCCCCAAGAGGTCTCTAAGATGGCCCCAGATCGCCCAAGAGGCCTCCAAGATAGTCCCATGACGGCCCAAGAGACCCCCAAGACGGCCCACAGACGGCCCCCAACACGCTCAATATGAGACGGCCCTGAGACAGCACAAGATAGCTGCAAGATGCGTCCAAGACGGCCCGAGGCCCCAAGAGGCCTCAAAGAGGTTCTCCAGAAAGGCGCGAAGATGCTCCAATCACTGACGTTCCATGGGTTTTTCAAAGGTTTGCTTGTTTTCGGCCTTCCGACGGCCCAAGACGGCCGAAGAGGCCCCAAGATCCCCCAAGAGGCCTCTAAAATTGTACCTCATGACGGCCCGAGAGGCCTCCAAGAAGGCCCCAAGATGCCCGAAGACGACCCAAGAGGCCTCCAAGACACCCAATATGGCCTCCGAGACGGCCCTGAAGCGCTCCAAGAGGGCCCCAAGTCCTTTCAATGAGGCCCCTCCAGACGGCTTCCGACGGCGTCAGACGGGCCAGGAACGCCATACGACTGCCAACGAGGCTCCCAAGAAGCCCACAAAAGGCGCCCAAGACGCCCAAGGAGACCCCCAATAGGCCTCCAAGAGGCCCACAGGAAGCTCCCAGGGGCCCCATCAGTCCCCCAGGAGGCTCCTAAGAGACTTCCTCAGCCTTTCAAGTGTTCCTCCCTCTCTTCCCCCTCTCCCTCTTTCTCCTCCGAGAGTTTCCTCGCACGTCTCCACAACAGCTCGGGGAAAACCTGGTCCGATAGCTTGCCCAAGCTCTTGACACACCATATCGGCGCGTCCGAACATGGCAGGGGGTGGGGGTGGTTCGCCGTAGGCGTCTTCGATACATTTCATGCGTACGCTCCCCTGCCCTCCCTGCCTCCCTCGCTTCGTGCCAACGCGTTTCCTTCGCTCCGTCCCGAGGCTGGCCTCCACGGGGACCACCTGGAATGATCAGCCCGTCCTGCAGCAGGCTCATGCCCCTCGCACTGTCGTGCCTCCAAATGGCCTCGAGTGCCGCCGCTCCTTTCCCCGCCGCTCATGATTTTCCCCCCTGCCGCGTGGAGTGGGGGAGCACGAGTGGAGAGAAGACACACAAGCACACACGCACACGTATCGACTACACGCAAGAGTGACCCTAGGCAAGAGTGACCTTTGGTGCGCGGCTTTCGGGGACCGCGGGGGGGCGAAATCCAAGCGCGGCAGACAATGCTGGGGGGACCCCTGTGTGCCCGCACCAAAGGTCACTCCAGCGAAGGGTCACTCTTATGTGTAGCCGAATCTAGCCCTCCAGCATTTTGCCTTCGGCCTGGCCCGAGATGTGTTTGGCCACGGACACAAATTCGCACGTATGATGCCAGCCTGCAGCGGACCGACTCCTGCGAGGGGTGGTAGGGGGCGCAACCGAAGAAATCCGATCAAGACACACTGAAGGGATGTCTTCTTCCTCAGCAGTCTCAGCACTTCACCAAACAAGCGAGCGACACCGTTGTCCGACCCCTCCTTCTTTCTTTCACACCTGGTCCCGTATTCTCTCGTTCCTCCACTCCCCTGGTCCATCCCCTTCCCTCTCCCCCCTCCTCCAATTATATTCCATCCTTCCTCCGTGCCTCCCTGCCCGCCTCCGCCTCCTCACCCACCCACTCTGGCGCACCCAAGTGGAGAAAGCGTGGCGTCGCCCGAAAGGTGACCCTGGCAATGGTGCAAATGCACCGTGGCCGGGTCTCGCACGCGAGGGACACTTTTATGGGCTCCTGGGGAAGCCGCAGCTGCCCCATCGCCAACTGGCGGCGCGCACATGCGCCAGGGCATGTGCGCCTGCAATCTCCCCCAGCTCCTGCGCCTCACGAAGTCCTCCCGAACCCCACCCCACTCCTGCTTCTCCTGCTCACGCCTCCCTCCGTCTCCCCCCACCTTCTCCATCTCCTCGTCTTTTTCCTCCGCCTCCGCTAAGACGAACCCAGGACAAGGACAACATTTGATCGGGATTCATCGGGGATCTCTGAGAACCAGCGGTTCTGGAGGATGCATCTGGCACCGCGGCCTTCTCAGAGCGTTGGGTCACTCTGCACGCGTTCGGGAACGCTCCTGTCCTGGCTCCGCCCGATCTGCATCCTCCCTCCTCGTTGCCAGCCCCCCGAACGTAGCGCCAATGGGAAGCAGGCGGGGCGCGATCCCGCGCAGACGTGCCAGGTCGACCGTCGGAGGAGGGCGGGGTGGGGAGGAGATCTGAGGCGGGGTGAGGTGACCAACTGATGCCACCAACCGATTCGTACGATTGGCTCACGACCCCGGACAGGAATATGCAAGCGTGAGGCATGGAAGCGTTTTCAAGACAGCTGCTTGGACGACAAGCATCTGCAATCCTGAGGGGTTATGTCGTGGCGTGCCGAGCTGAACTGTAATGTATCGTGCCGCGTGAAACTGAGCTGTGCTCTAGTGCGTCATGGATCTAACGCAACCACGCGATTAAAGAACGAGTCTGGCAGGGACGATTCAACACATAGCTGCTTCTCGTCTGTGTCGTTGGCTGCGGCCTGGCGGCCTCGACGGCGACGACCAGCCGGGAGGTCCGGGAGCATCTTTTCAATCGGCCTCTTCCCAGTCCAGGCATTTCGTAATCGTTTGGTCGCAGTAGGGGCGCTCGTGCCACATATGACATCCTACCTCTCACACCCATCCCTTCCCATTGCGTTGAATCACTCCTTTCCATTCGCCGACTGGGGTGTCCTGGAGAGCCCAAAGGGCAATTGCAGGATTTGACCCATCAATTGCTGCGCGCTCGGAAAAGGCTGGGCTGTTGCACATAAGATGACGAGGGGCAGAAGGCGGACGAGCAGGAGACGGGGAAGGGACAATGAGGAGGATACGGAGGAAGTCAAGGAGGAGGACGAGAAGGGATGTGGAGCAAACTGGACCAGGCCAAACT